AAGAGTGATATAAAAGCCAAAAAATATGAATACAGAGAAGAAAGAAAGAAAGAAAAAGAAAAGAAAGAAAGAAAAGAAAAGAAAAAAAAAGATGTAAAAAAATCAGAAAATATGGATATGGTGAAGAAAGAAAGAAAGAAGAAAAAGAAAGAGTGATATAAAAGCCAAAAAATATGAATACAGAGAAGAAAGAAAGAAAGAAAGAAAGAAAGAAAGAAAGAAAAAAGAAAGAAAGAAAGAAAGAAAGAGTAAAGAAAGATGTAAAAATCAGAAAATATGGATATGGTGAAGAAAGAAAAGAAAGAAAGAAAGAAAGAAAGAAAGAAAGAAAGAAAGAAAGAAAGAAAGAAAGAAAGAAAAGAAAAGAAAGAGGATAAAAAGCCAAAAATATGAATACAGAGAAAAGAAAGAAAGAAAGAAAGAAAGAAAGAAAGAAAGAAAGAAAGAAAGAAAGAAAGAAAGAGTAAAGAAAGATGTAAAAATCAGAAAATATGGATATGGTGAAGAAAGAAAGAAAGAAAGAAAGAAAGAAAGAAAGAAAGAAAGAAAGAAAGAAAGAAAGACAGAAAGAAAAAGAAAGAATGATATAAAAGCCAAAAAATATGAATACAGAGAAGAAAGAAAGAAAAGAAAGAAAGAAAGAAAGAAAGAAAAAAGAAAGAAAGAAAGAAAATAAAGATGTAAAAATAAGAAAATATGATATGGTGAAGAAAGAAAGAAAGAAAGAAAGAAAGAAAAGAAAGAAAGAAAGACAGAAAGAAAAAAGAAAGAATGATATAAAAGCCAAAAAATATGAATACAGAGAAGAAAGAAAGAAAGAAAGAAAGAAAGAAAGAGTAAAGAAAGATATAAAAATCAGAAAATATGGATATGGTGAAGAAAGAAAGGAAAAGAAAGAAGGATATAAAAGCCAAAAAATATGAATACAGAGAAGAAAGAAAGAAAGATGTAAAAGCCAGAAAAATATGAATATGATGAAGAAAGAAAGAAAGAAAGAAAGAAAGAAAGAAAGAAAGAAAAGAGTGAATGAATGATAGAAAGAAAGAGACAATTAAAAATAACGGAAAAACTGAAAATCACGAAAACCCCAAAAACAAAAGCCTGAAAAAGAGACAGAAACGAAAAAAAATAAACAATACAAAAGCACAATGAAATCTGAGACTAGAAAACAACTTTAGAGAAAATACAACAGATTAAAGAAAGCGTGGAAGTTGGATAAAACCAACGCACGTAGAAAGACAAGCGGAATATAAAAGTCAAACAAGAGGACGGAAAAGAGAGTGAAAAAAAAAAGAGACTGAACAAAGAACAGAAAGAACATCTGGAATTAAATTTTTCGCCATTATTGTTCGTGGTCTTAGGAGACTTGATCGAAGCAATCAATTCTTTTCGCGTGACCGATAAAATGTTTAATCGTGCCACCAAGAACGCAGGATACCCCAGTCAAACAAAAAACTTGCTAAAAAGAAAACGAAAAACACATTTCAATATTCGCCGGTTAACATGAATTGAATTTGACCACGAAATCCGGGTAATTCAACTTCTATTTCTTTCCCGCCAATTCAACGCAGCCTGTTCTTTCCCGCCAATTCAACGCAGCCTGTTCAGTTTGAATGAAAACTCGAGAAGGAAAAACCCGCTGTTTTATTTTAGCATTAGCATAGACTGTATTTTGACTTCTGGAACTAGTACTTCCCCTTTTTATGCTACAACCAAAATTATTCCCCTTTCGTCCATTTCTAGAGTGTAAAGAACAGGGTTTCAAAAGAATGACTTCAGAATTCTCTCGCGGTTCACAGAGTTCTACTAAAATGGTCGGTGTTCCAGACTGGATAAAAACAATCAAATTCTGATTTTCACGGCACGTGCACCGTCCGTCCGCAAACAACAGATGCAGAAGAAAATCTTTCTCTTGTCTTACACTTATTTGTCCTTGTACCTTTCTTTTGTTCCTAACCGAGCCACAGTAAAATTAACTTCTTTTTTTTTCTTAACATAATGAATGTAATAATTGTTCAAATGTTCTTTGGCTCTGAGCGATTTCAGCTAAGTGTTATTTTGTTCTTATACTAATATAACAAATGGTGTGTGCATATGGTGTTGTAGGTGATATAAAACTTGATCAAAGTAGATATATTATCAATTTGGCAGCGGGGAGGGGGTAATCAACTTGTCAGTTTTCCTGCGAACTGATTCACGTAACCTTTTCAGCAGTTCGAAATGTATATTGACAGTTTTCTCCTGTGTTATGAATTTGTATTAAACTATCAGCTTATGACAAAAGAAATACACAAGCATCAAAATACGCAGCGAGCTTGTTTTTGTTCTTTGGGGCGTAGGGGGCAGTGGTGAGATAAATTCTTGGTTTCTTACAGTATTCACCGGCGTTTAGTATTAAGGGTTACCATGTTCGATCGCCCGTAAAGCGCTTCCCTAACACCACCGGATTATTCAAAATATCAGATGAATTATGAAGGCGACAATAAACAAAAGTAAACTTCTAATCAAAGAATGTTTGTTGGTCTTAAATCGAAATTGTATGTCTGTCTGTCTGTCTATATATCTATTTATGCATCTATTTAAATATATATATATATATGTATATATATATGAAGAATAGTTTTATATATATATATATATATATATATGAAGAATAGTTTTATTTATATATATATATATATATATATATATGAAGAATAGATTTATATATATATATGAAGAATAGATTTATATATATATATATGAAGAATAGTTTATATATATATATATATGAAGAATAGATTTATATATATATATATGAAGGATAGATTTATATATATATATGAAGGATAGATTTATATATATATATGAAGAATAGATTTATATATATATATATGAAGAATAGATTTATATATATATATATATATGTATGAAGAATAGATTTATATATATATATATATATATATATGTATGAAGAATAGATTTATATATATATATATATATATATATATGAAGAATAGTTTTATATATATATATGAAGAATAGATTTATATATATATGAAGAATAGTTTTATATATATATATATATATATATATATATATATATATATATATGAAGAATAGATTTATATATATATATATATGAAGAATAGATTTATATATATATATATGAATAATAGTTTTATATATATATATATGAATAATAGTTATATTTATATATATATATATATATTTATGAAGAATAGTTTTATATATATATATATGTGAAAAATAGTTATATATATATATATGAAGAATAGTTTTATATATATATATGAAGAGTAGTTTTATATATATATATATATATATGAAGAATAGATTTTGATTTATATATATATATATATATATATATATATATATGAAGAATAGTTTATATATATATATATACATATGAAGTATAGTTTATATATATATATACATATGAAGAATAGTTTTATATATATATATATATATAAAAAAGAATAGTTTTATATATATATATATATATATATATATATATATATGAAGAATAGTTTTATATACATATCTATATGTGAAGAATAGTTTTTACATATATATATATATATATATATATATATGAGAATATTTTATATATGTATATGAAGAATGGTTATATATATATATATATATATATATATATATATATATATGAAAAATAGTATGCTGTATTTATGGGATAAAATGCTCAATATCAGAGATAGAGCTTATGTAAAGATAAACGTTAACATTGAAGTCAACACTCAAGGGCGACAAACTGTTTCTTGCTAAACGCAATCATAATGTGGCTTTGATGTATATTTGGCCAGCAAATTTTCTTTTAAACATCTTTAAGTAAATACGCTAGAAATATTTAATAAAAATGTCTAAAGCAACCAATGCGGGATACAGTATCTGATTGGGAATTCTGGTGGTATGCATTCGCTCAACCTGCCCAAGACATCTGAGACTCAGAGAACGCAAAATTGGATATAGTGACAGAATGACAGCTCTTTTGAACAATTCTTTATCCGTGTTCTATCTTGAGATTTAATTTATAAAATATTTAAAAAATATCTCGTTCTCGTGTGGCCTATCGGGGAACGCAGGTTTTTGGAGGTCAAATAGGCATCTAAAAATAAAGTAATTTTTTTTTATCTATCTTTCTTTCTATATTTCGGGCT